CGATGGGGAAGGATATCAGACGAATATCGCGGGCTACGTGAAAACTACTGTGAAAAGGTAAGTTACTTAGAAGAGGCAAGATTTTCCACAAGCTACGAGCCACGCAAGTTTCCGATTCCAGCTTGATTACATAAGGCCGGATTTAAGGTGGTGAACGAAGTTTTCGAGTGTAAAAGGGGTGCTTTAAAACTGGAGGCTAGAATTTTTCGCGGCATCAGAGATTGTACGCGAGAACTTTATTCGGTGACCGAACTTAAACTCGAAGAACTTCGATCGTCGATCGACATTCACTAATTCAAACATCCATGGAATTATTTGCATTGTATAAAATTTTTTAAAATCCTAAATTAAGGGTTTTCTTTAAATTTCTCAATGGGTTTGAAATTCCCTAATTAGGATGGCCATTAATTTCAGCTCTCTATTTTATTGCAGCGTGTTTGGGTCATTATCGTGCATAAACACGAAATTATTACCATGATTTATAGAGGAGAGTGCAAAGTTTATCTGAAAACCTCGTCTTTTTTATCTGTTTGTTAGCAGACAAGAGAGGTTCAGGAAAAATGAGAAAGAACTACTAGGTCGTTTGCAAAAATGCATTCTTCTAGCTCGAGTTTCCTTATGGACAAGTTTTCCCAGTATTGCGGTTGTTGCATTTTCCTTTCTGTCGTTATCGAAGCGTTCTAAGAATACCGGTCGCTTCGCCGCGATATTACTTGTTGATATTGTGGATATAACGATGGAACGAGAGGAAATCCCTGCTTCGTTTCATTCACAGGGTGTTCCCCGAGTTTCTTTTCATCTAAGCAATCCTTGACTTGAATTTCCATGTATTGTAGGGATTCTGTGATTTTGAAAGAACATACAGTTTCTAGTAAAACCCCCAAAATTAATGAAATATTTTGAAATCGCCAATCTGTGTCGATAAATTATGGAAAAATAATTCCAAAAGTCTTCCTGTATTATAATTGTTTGTAAAAGGATCTAGCAGCTAAATGGCTGCAACACGTGTGGAACATAATATTAACAAACAGGAAACTAATTATCGCGAAAATCTCTGAACCGCCTGTTATTTTCATCCAAATGTAACAGAATTTCATGCTTCTGTACGTATAAAGCTTTCAATTAGGAAATTTATACCTTGTTTAAACATTAAATGGTGTTTGGCTTACAGTAAATTCAGAAATAAACGTTTAAAAGCATCAATATGTACTTTGAAAGATATAAAAAAATCATGGAATATTTTTATAAAATTGAATGCAAAAAAATAACCAGCTACAACACGGTTGTAAAAAAAAAAAAGTTGCAGCTTGAAAGCTAGCTGTTAACTAATACCAAAAAAAAATAAACTGAAATATTCCATAGATAAAAAAAAGAAATGGAAGTTGTGGAATGTTTACACGTATGAAAAAGCCGCAGTGTTGATAAACAAGTACAATTTTTGTGTAGTTTGAACGAGATAAAGTGCGCAAAATGAAATAAAATAATAGCTTCAGGTATAAAGGTCAGGTGGCACAGACCGCGTACACGTTCTATTTCCACAAAAGAATTACACGGCGTGTAAATGATTTATATATCCTATTTCCTGTGGTAAAATCAATTTCTCTGACGTTACAACGGAAAGGTAGACGAATATTTTGTCCGGCACGGGCGCGCAGAGTGAATCGTGAGTGAAAATAACCGTGGACAGGGGCAAACGAAAAACACCGGATAAATGCGTTTCCCATGGTCCGTCAGAATGGCGTGTGCTTAATGAGTTTAAAATCTGGCTTTGACCCAAAATCATCCCCCTGTCCGAGCTTTTCAACCATACTAATTGCACGCGTCGAAGAGATGAAACGTTTCGGATGTTTCTTTTGCAATTGATATTATTGAAGGTTCCTGTTTGCAGACAATATCCTTTTGAAATCATACTCCGACACACGTGTATTTTTCGTTTATATTATACGCGCTCGTGTTTACCGTGAACTCGATTAAAATTTGTTTCAATTTCATCAGTTGTTTGAAATACAGCCGAACAACGATCCGATTTATCGAAACATGTAAATATTGAATCGTAACGCGATTCCATATTCTCTTCGCGAATTCTTTTCACATTCATCGTTCTAATAAACCCGCTTTTCGAACGCAACGATATATATCGTGCAGTATTTCAAGGGTACACAATTGGCTGAAAGGAGCCTGAAATACCATTGACTCGAGCAATTGGATCTACGGCGAAAACGCACAAAGCACGTCGATATTCCGTTCGCAAATCCCTGGTGGAAAGCGTGACCCTTCAACCGGCCTCTTCCAACGATTGACGTTGCCTCTATTAAGCCTGGGCGAAATGAAACATAACCATTTCACCTGGTATGCCGCTATCGTCCCGACCGATGTCCGGTAACTTGTGCTCTCAGGGACATAATTCAACCGCGTCCACAATCGACCCGTGCCACCGTATAATCTTGCGTTCGTACACTGCCCTTCGATAAATATATCGATAATGTTTTATTTACGGTAGCATTTCATTCGTGTCGCAAATGAACAATCGGTGAACAATTTGTTTGGGGAAATCAGAAAATTACGGTACGCTAATTGACAAAGGGGGAGGGTTAATTATATAGCGGTTGTACCGTAATAATTTATTATACCTGCGGACGGAATAAGAGCGGTTTAAATTTGTTGCGGAAACAATGGATTACAGTGGACTAATTGTCGAGGGCAGAGGATTAGTTCTGTGGTATGCGTCAGGAAAGTCAGGTGAGACAAACAAGGTATGAGATAGGAGTTAAAGGAAGGGCCATTTGAGTGAAACGAGCAGGTAGGAAACAGACAATGTAAACATAACGTTCGGAGAATAACCAGATTTCAAACTCGATAATTTACTCTATTTAGTGCCATTTATGTGTCCGTGCTTCAAACTTTTCAAACATACCCACCTGCGAACGATAGTGAACGTACCCATGAAATTAATTTACTGAATATGTTAAATTATAAATTTCAATTTACTCATGCTTGTAATATTAATACACAGTTTACGGGTACAAATTTTCATGGAAATTTGCTAAATTGGCCATCCCTTCAGAGTAAATAACCATCAATGAAATATATCATTCTAAAAAGATCATCAAAACCGACATGTATCACTTTCGCGGCGTTCTTTGCAAAGTCCCTTTTCGACCACCGGGTGATGCGCTTTCGTTCGCGGCTTTTGATTTACATTAATTGATTCCGGCCGATACTATGGGCCCGGGTGAACGATAACCATGACGAGATTCGATCTGGCCATGCATATGTATGCGTACTCGAGGGTTGATCGACGCGTTCGAAGAAGAGGGTGAGGGATACAAAAGCGGATAGCGGACGATTTACGAGGAAAAAATGAATCGGATCCGTTGGCAATATTGTGTCCTGTTCGTGACAGAACAAAAGCCGGTTTATTACGCGCCTCATAACGTATGTTAATTAAGAGGTTAATGAACACATTGTTAAGCGTAAAAGTTGGAAAGACCTCATCGTTTCGTTATTACCCATCGCATTGTACCCGTTGTTCGCTTAATTAACAACGATCCCGTTGATACCGTGTCACGTACCGAAGCTCCTTCTCTGCTACTTTTTCACTAAAACATTTGATTGATCGATCCACTATACTGAAATTTGAATATTTCATCGTGGATTACGCTGTACACGCATGTTGGTTAAAATGAATCTTCTGTAGCGTAAGCCAGCTACCATGGAGTGTCTGTATCCAAAACCACACTTATTGGAGAGGGACGTCTAGCCAAAACCGATGAGAAATTTCCTCCCGTTAATTCTCGTTCTGCCCGTTCTAGGATTAACAATGTACATTCCTCGTTCGCGTGTACAGAAATTTCTGAATCGTTATTACACCCTGCCACGGGGCTGTTGGTGGAGGCGTTCGCGAACAACGACATCACGCAGTTAGGTTCGATCGAGCGGAACCACGGAATTTCGCAGTGGCAAACTTCCGTTCTGTCGTACGTGCAAGATAACTTTGTTTCGCTCGCCGGTATCGCGTCGACCCGTTGTCGGATATGGATGATAAAAGTTTCGTTCGATTCCATTCGTTGACCACCGGCCTACGTGAACGCACACATTCATTTGCGGTTCAAGCGAAAACCATATCGAGGTGTCGGGGTTTAAAAATGAACGAAATCTTTTGTTATTTCTTTTTTCTCCTTTAAAAAAGACTGCGGTATATTTTGAATTCGATTATTTTTTATCGTTCCAATTGTAATTAAATTTAAAAGAAAAACTGCTCAAGTGTAATCAACGTAGAATATGTAGAATGTATAAACCATAAATGGCACAGTCAATCAATTGAACATAACTGTGACCATTGTAAAATGCATCGGCATAAATTGTCCATTTGACGGTACCATCGAACGGCGGGAAAAAAAGGGAAAAATAGGAAAGAACAGAGGTAGGTGAATATTTTTGGAAAACTGTAGGTTAAGGTAGGGGAATTCGTGCGTATGGCAATAATAGCGCGAACGTTGGTGGTAATGGTAATTGCTGTATGGTCGACCATTCAAATTCACCGGTAAAAGCACGTTGAATTGCCTTCAATCCTTTTTTTCCCCACCGTCTCTCGTTTTGTTTCGTTCCATTCTCGAGTGGAAATCATTCTGGTGTAATAGGTGATCGTCACGGGACCCCGTAACATCCCTTTTCCCCCCTGTTAATTCGCGATTAATTTGCTCGCCCCGTTTCGCTGGTTACAAGTCCGAATAACTTTCCTGAAACTCTTTCTACATAGTTGTCGACGAACTTTTTTATCGATCCTTTAGATCCGGTTACCGTTTTCTATTCCTCCGACTCCGTTTTTCCCTTCTCCTGAAATCCCCTTTAATTGTTCAACTTTGACGATCTTCGAAAGAAATTGCGGCGAAACGAGCCGAAGTCGGGGGACAAAGGATGGCTGGTTAGTATGAAAAATTCAAACGTCTGCACGAATTTAACGCACGCGTCGTGAATATTTAATGCATTATAAGTTCGCGGAAGAGTCGTGAATAATTCATACAATACGTGAACTACCCCGTTAACGGAGCTTAAAACTACATGCGTATACATACTTCCCTGCACGCTTGAATTACCTTAATATTTATATAATAACTTGCGTGGACGTTTCCGCGAGCTTTATTCGGCATTCGTCGCTTGATACGTGTGATTTTAATTAAATTTTTACGTATTTCAACCCTGTCACAGTGCGCGACTACGTCGTACGTGTACACGTGTGTCGTTTCGCTTATGGTTGAGAAAAAATCTCCGCTAAATTAATTTCACGCATTAAAGTAACAATAACACAGGAATTTACATGAAACGTGAAACACAAAGTTATAACGTCGAAACAATATAATTTATAAAATAATTTTGCTAGTGTACTTTTATTGCTCTCGAAAATTCGCTGAAATTCAACTCGCGATTGCGAGATAATTATCCAGTGAATATTTAAATCCCGCACCGTTATCAATTAATGCCCGAAATTCGCGAATGACGGCTCGAAAAAAGGAGCTAAAAGTATGAAATACGAAATGGAAATTACTACAGAACGGTGAAATATTTTTTAGTTCGTTGATTACACGAAGAATACAAATATTTTGCGACTCCCGTATCGAAATAACAACGTTCATTTGGAAAGTGGGTAAATCAATTTTTTTGTCAATTCTCGTGAGAGCAGTTGGCGATTTTTTTTTTTCGAAGTATCTATCACGAAAAATGATTTAATTCGCGGATAGTATATTTAACGCATCCGGTATTCGACTGTTCTCATTAAATTAATTTGCCAAGGGATCGGGAATTTACCCTGCGTCACCGGTAAAAATAAGCCGATTGGCTGGGGTAACGAACGGGGTCGTGAATTTCCTAATTAATGCGTTCACGTTTGACTCGAGCAAACGTAATTCGCGTGTTTACCCAAAGGCGAATAAGCATTCGCATGTTTGCGGATACAGAAGCAACGTGTCTCTGCCTCGAACCGCGTCTACTCCTTTCGACACGGGGATCAGCGCTGTTCGCGAATTAATAAATATACCTTAACGTTTCATAATAGTCACGAATGAAATTTTGTTGAAACAGGTAAACGTTCTTGTCAGATTCAGCCGACTTATCGCACGTTAACAGGTTCACCGCCGGGAGGATCGTCAGAAACTGTCTACTCGAATTTTGTATACGAAACAGAAGGCAAACTTTGAATAGTTTTACAGGTGAGACGTGAGAAAGATTAAACATGATGAAAATTAACTGATTTTATTTTAACATGTTCAGTGCCAGCGGGCGTTGAGTTAAATTGAGAGAAAAGAATTTTACAGAAATTAAACTGGGAAGGTTAAATGAAAAAACGAAACAGTATTCTGAATAATTGTATTTAATGTGTTAAATAATTAATAAAAAAAGACAATTTTGAGTACCATTAATATCACATTACAGATATAAAGTAGGTAATAAATTAAGCAATTGACAGATCACTAGAAACCGTCTTTTATCGAATTCTTTTAACACAATTAATTTAATCGTCTGCTTTAAGCTATGCGTCAGTCATATGTCGTATAATCGTATGAAAATCGAATCTTGATAAACGATAAATCAACACTAAAGGTCGGCTACGCGATAATTTCACTATACGTAATGTCAATTCGCCGTAATCGTTCACGATTGTGACAAAAAAATTCTCGACACGGTCGCTTTTGAACGCCCACTATCGACGATAAATATTCGCGACGTCCAAGCCTAATCACTTTATATAATTGATCTTTGATCCCGTGTTCGTTCACGTAACGCGTATTTTCCAGACACGATGATGTGATTTCCCTATGTGTACTCTGGTCTTGTGCTCCGTGTATCGCTAAAAATTGAATTACGCTCGTGTCAACGTTTGCTTTCGATACATATGCGCGCGGTAATTTACACACGATTAACGTTCGCTTTGACAACAGCCACGTCGATCTTCGAACAGTCTATATTTACTAGAATGAAAGAAGAATCCATTTGAACAGTCTTAGATTTCGCTACCAGTTGTCCTTCTACATCTAATACAACAGAAATGATCATCAGGGCCATTTTTGAACAAGAATACGAATCTCAATTTTCCTTTCTCCTGGCACAGTGAATAAATCTAAGGTTCAATTTTCGACAGTCCAATTTTCACCGTTCCAAGAGATTGCCCTGATGCCTCTGTCTGTTCTAACACTCTATCTTCGATCTCTAATATAGAGACTCTGATCGGTTTATCGAAACATCGTCATGAATTGCTTGAATAGCGTCGGCAAGGCTCCTCTCAACGAAAGTATAGTGATTAACGCGGTAACGACTATGCAGATTAGTTGAATATTAGGTACATTGGAGACGTAGGTTAGCCAGGATTTCTTGTATCCGTAGCACTGGGAAGCCATACCCAATACGAAGCAGCTGATGCCCAAGAAGTTGTGGGAAAACTTGATGACCACCGGTCTGATTACCGCGCGAAGTTTCGCCGCTACGAGGACCGGGTAACCAAAGGCTACCAGGAACAGCATGATCACCGTTGACGCGATCCCGAGGATCGCGTGGATCGACTGGAAATGAACGGTCTTCACTCGATACATGGGCACAATACCAGCGACCACGCAGATCGCTCCGAGTAACTGCAGGATCCAGTGGACGTGGCTCTTGGCACGACGGGTAAGAAAGTTCGTCAAGCTGCTCCCATCGGCTAGCACGACAATGGCCTCTGACATGAGTAGGACGTACTGAAAAGGAGAAGATCGAGTTGTGAGAGGTGGAGGAAGTTGCAGTCGTTTGGCCAAGTCGTTAGAACTTCTTTGGCCACCTCGGTTACACCCTTTCTGCCCTTTAAAGGGAAAGAATCCTCCCCGGATTCGGGCTGACTAGCTGGCGCTCACGGTCATTCTTGAATTTCGATTTCGCGTTCCGGGCTGCAAGGTGTGTAACCGGAGAAATAAATGGTGCAATTTGAATCGCAGCTAAATCGACCCCTTTGAACTTACGAACAGGAAACTTCTAGGCAAGGTTACCGGGAACTTCTTGTTCCACTATTTTCCCTTCTAACGTTCTTTCCGACAATTAAAATTTCTCGCTTTAGATTCTCTGCTTCGCTTTTCCATTGTACTGAGAAAACTTCTTGCATAAAGTTTAGGATCATCGTGATTTGTTTCAATGATCAGAGAAATCGTCGAGTGTTTAATGAAACGGAGCGATAAAAATCGCGAACGAGTTCTGTTTGTTTACTGTATGAAATTCGGTGGAAATATCGTTTGACCTGATATTTTATTTGATCGATATACATACCCCCACGGTGCAAAGGGTGACGTGTAAATCCATCACGCCGAAGGAACGCATCGAATAGTAAAGAAGAAAAACTGTCACACCGACGATGAGTATATGGTTAATAAGGTCAACTGCCGTAACGCATGTGCCGTACATGCTTCGTCTCCCGCTGGTGGTTTCCAAATTGTTCGAACTATTCGAAGAACTCGAGGGAGGTGTCTCCGACTTTACGTCCTTCATTTGGAACGACGATGTGCTTGCTTCCTTTCCCTCCATGCCTCTGAAATGTCTGCAAGTTTTCAGGTAATTATAAACACTTGTAAAATTATCGTAAAGAATTTTATCTCGAATAAATTTTCTTCTAATTACAACAACACGCGATGCCTTCTTTTACCAGCGACCGTTTGGGAATGATTACTAACGGTCAAAGAGCGCCACTGCAAAAGTAATTACTAGGCACGATAATGGGAATTACAAAGGGGACGGCCTGGTATTTGTGCTGAAGTGATTACATCTGGGAGCACAGAGGTACTGACCCCTTTAAAATCGAGCTACTGATCGAAAGGAAACAAAAATGAGTTCGTTGATCTCTAAGGAGGCGAAAACGCGAAAGGTCATATAATGGAAATAGAAATTCAGCGTGTAATTGATTTAATTCGATCGATCAAATTGGATGGCTTTATTGCGTTCGGACAGGAATACATTTGGCAGATCGAAATATTGGAAACAATCCTGTCTCACGATGGAAACATGATTTTCGTTTTTCACTCACCATAACCTCTGATCGAGCGAATAGGGAGCAGTAAATAAAAATAAATCAATTTCGAAGCTTCGGAAGATGGGTAAAGGGATTTAGTACACTCGTATCCATAAGTCGAGGAATAAATTTGGATCGTAATAATATTATTAAAATTATTGAAAATAATTTTATATTTGTGTATGATAATAACTCCGAGCAAAATATGCAAAAATTATCTGGTGTAGTAATGTTAAAAAATCTTTAAAATATTTTATTCCACATAAGGATTCAATGAACGGTCTTTTGATTTAATATGGTAAATCTTTAATAATGTTAAATTTGAAAGCAAAGTTGAAAGTAGCAAGTGTCCCGTGACTTATGGACGAGAATGTATGTTGGATGTTGCACGACTGCCGGTACGTTTTATTTCGATTTATTTTGTTCACAATATAGTTCGTTAGCGTGCTTCCTTCGTTTGGACTTTTCCTCTCGTTCGTAAACGCGAGTTGAAAGCTCGGCAAGCTTGCCGTTTCCACGACATACCGTTAAATTGTTTTACTGGCTCGCTGTATTAAGCGGAGTATCAGGCAATCGGTTATCCCCGCGATGAGATTTCTCGAATGCTATCGTTTAATCGAATCGCACGAAATTCTCCCCGAGGGATCCGCGACAGGCTAACAATTACCCTCCGGTGACTTTCACACATCCCCGGTTGGTCTTTGTCGTCCAAGGGAACGGATGAGAAAATGTTCGCTTTTCAACGACGTGACCGGAAAAAAACTGAAATTTCACGGAATTTTAAACGACCCGTTCGTTAACTCACCAAACAACTCCGTTCTTCGTGAAAAATAACCGAGGAATTTTTTAGTAGAATTGCGTCCACCTTTCACTGTTTAATTCACAAAAATAAAAAAGCACGATTCGTGTTGTCGCGACCGGGAACGAGAAATTATCGGTGCTGATTCAAGTACGATCGCTTCCATACTAATTGAGGAAATCTGTCGATCGAGCGGAATACGCTTCTGTGGTAATATTGAACATCTCTGTTTTTTTCAGTTTCTTTCCTTGTATACAGAATCGAAGCGGATAATTGGAACGTTGGTACTGGTATTCACGTGACCGCGACTCATTAATTAAACGCGGTACAAGCTACGTGACGCTGATAATCAGATGTCATTTTTACTCGAGAGGTCGCGTCAACTTGCTATCTCTGTCCGTCTCTTTCATCCTGTCCTTCATCTTCGCTGTTTATCTCTGTTTCACTTGGTACGTATTGTTCCGAAAAGTTTACCGGGTAGCGTCAGGTGCGCGGTCAGCTACGAGTCGGTCGAATTTTCCATGCAAATTGGATGCAATTTCGGCAAAATCAGATTATTGAATTTAGATTTCCGAGCGAAACAGGTTATAGAATTGTGTGAAAAGTTTCGAACGCGCCAGGGAGGGTTGGATGGTAGCCTATAATCGTGATTAATTCGCGTTCTTTCGTGACTCGAAAACGAGGGATACGTTTCGTCGATTCGAAAATATATCGCTCGTCGAATTTGGCGTGCAATTTATTTCGATTCAATCAACTGAGTGAAACGCCGTTTAGCCGGCGTTGCTCGAGGACGCGTGAAAACGCGTGCAATTTATTTAGCGATGATTACACTGATTACAGATACGATGAAATTCACAGTGACTGATCGATGATAGAAATTAAAAAAAGAGAAAATGATGACGGACATTCGTCGAAAAAGGAGAAAAGGAAAAAATGAAAGGGAAGAAAATAACGAGTGAGTGGACTAATTCGCGCGAATAATGCGTCCCGTGTTTCGTTGGTTGCGTTTCTCCCTTGTTGTTTCGAAAATATCTATCCATTGTTTGATAACGAACGAAGCATCGATTCGTGAAAAGCGTGTCGTGCTTTTGTATTTATACAGACATTTTCAGTCGTATTATTTCGTCTGCGTTCCGCGGAACAACACCGTGAAACATGTTAGAAGAGGATCCCCCATTGTTACGATCCGTCGTATGAAATTCAATACAGGAAAAGGCGTTGTTTGCCGACATTATACTTTTTTCTCAATGATTCGAATATAAAACCACAGCTACGTATTCAATTCAATCACCCTCGCAGCAATGTTTAACCATTTGATCCTGATACTCGTTATTTTGTTCATTCAGCAATCTTTGACAGAGTTAATACAACACCGATCAAAAATAAGGAAATATCTTATTTCAAAGAACAATTTATAACATAAATCATAGGAGATAATATCAATGGATATTATTCTCCACTTGCGGTTTTAAAGATATATGACGGTACCTTCATATAAAAGTAGCAATAAAAGTAGAAATTTTTTGAAAAAGTTTATAGTCGGAAAATGAAGGTGTTCGAATATTAATGGATCTAATTTTTTTTTTGAATTTAATGAATATAGAAAAGAGTATAGAAAGTAGCTTTCCATGAATTTCCAGCTCTTGGAATTGATCGTGGAATGCAAATGGAGGTCACGGATTCTATTGCGGTTAATCAAGTTGTTTTGCTTGCAAGAGTGCGATACGCTATTCATCCTAATTCGTCCCATTATCGCGAACGGCTAATTAAAAATCGCATTGCGTAAGCATCGATTGTTTATTTCTACGAAATGAAGTTGACACGAGAATTAAATTCGATAAATGTCTCGCACTGATTGATTTGCCGACAGCAATTCTATACACTTGTAATCGTACATGTCAGATCTCACGTAGAGATAATACATTCGATTTTTGATCGTGATTAAATACGTAACCTGATTTATCGTTCATAAGCCAAGAACGATAAACATTATCAATGCTCGACCCTTTCGCATTTCATTGCCCGATTTGTTGTCTCGGAAAACACTTCTAAATCGAAACGTTTTCCTTATCTTTCTATTTCTTCAGGATTGGTTCTTCTATTTTTCTTGCCGGAATGAATGCGATAACGAAAGCAGAGAAAAAAGGAAAGAAGCGGTAAGAAAACGTGGAACTAATTAGCAAAGTCGTTGTCGATAGTGGTTTTAATTACTACCTGCTTAACGAGCTCTTAATTAAAAGGGGAAATTCCTAATTAACATCCATATGATTTATTTTTATCCGCGGATAAAATAATTTATTGTAAGATTCAATCACAGGTGGAATACTGACGTTGACACTTTGAGGGAATTTTTAGAGCAATATTTTCAGACATCCATTAAATTTACCGGGGAGTTATTTCAAATACTCTTTTTTTTGGTTAGCGCGTTTTATGTTCGAGCCATTCGTTTCGTTTTGAAAATGAAGGCATCTCGTAACTGGGGAATCCTTCATAACAGTTTCCAGTCTGATATACGATCGACAACCCCTATGAATTTGTCGGAATATTTCCCGTTGGAAAAACGCCACGGAAGCAAGTTCGATGGCTGTTTTACGATGATGCGTGAATGATTTTATCGAGCTATCCGTTTCTCCCGTTTTGCCGGACGAGTTTCCACGATTTTCAACCCTCCTTCCTAACGAGGGATGTTTTTCTCTCGCAGGAAACTGTATGAAAAAAGAATTTTTACTTTACCATGGCAGGGTAGTTTTCTTCGATAGGGTAGATAGAATTTCATTTTCTATTGATACCTATAGTTGATCAGCTTCCGTTTGATCATCAGTCAGTTAACGTAGCATCCGATTTTACCCTGTCAGAATTTTACCATTCGCCACTAAACTCAGAAGGGAAGCAAACTTCGATAGGGGTGTAAATGAAACCTGCTTTACCGACTGAATTCCACCCCCATTTTCATGAAACTACCTACCCTCTGAGCCTCCAGATGTCAGCATCTCCTCGAATCCCTTTGAACACCCCATTTTACCCTTTTCCCTTTATCTTAATTTAAAAGATGATTAGGCGTCACTACCATTTCAAAATTTCATTTGCATCTATAAAAAAATTCACGTAAGAAGCGATTAATATTTTTACTCTAATGATTTTATATTTGCCATGAATTCCTAGAAAATGCGTAACGAAAGAGGAGCGAATACAGGTAGCTTCGAATGTAATCGTCTTAACCGATATTTTTCAATGGCACGATGAAAACGTTCGGAATCCAGAATAGATATTTGACACGCGTAATGATAATCCCATAATGCGAGGATCTGTGAGAAATGGGCCAGCATAATTGTCGAATATCTTCCGCCTGACGTGCGTTGAGATCATAATTCTTATTGAATTCCTAGGGACATACATGTGAGCTTGAGTGCGGGTAAAGAAGTCTGAATACAAATGTACGAGTATTGGAGCGTAGAAAAATTGATGTGTGTACTCGAGAGACAAGCTCCTCGAGAGTTTATATCAATGTAGATCGATATAATTTTCTGCCCTTATTCGGTGGAGCGGTATGAAGAAGCGGATTGTCGTTGGAAGATGTTGGAATATTTCTTTGGGTTTGTGAGACAGATGATTTTTACTTAGATTATTAATACCCAAACTGAATCAACTTGACAAGAATTTTATAAAGATCTAAACACGTCATTGATTACTAGTAAAAGATAAGGGTATCCTAATAATTTTCCATATCGTTTCTAATCTCCATCTATTATTTCTGTTTCTCCATCGAGCTATCGCATCGAACAGGGAGATAACAATCATCTCGATCAAACATATTTTCATTGTATTTCATCTTATCGTGTCTCGAAGACGATCTTACACGAACAAAGAATACTTCCATCCAACGGAACTCCATCCCTTAAAGTCAAACAGATCCTGCAGAGAAGGAAGAAGATCTCCGGTGAAAGTACCACAAAAGGGACACGAAAGGTCTCCGACACTCGAGCTTCAAATTAATTGCGACTTTTACACGCGTCACAATAAACAAACGGTAATACACAAAGAGGTTCGTGGATCTGGAGGAGAGAAAATCGCGAGGTTGCTAAAGATATTTACATATTTACGAGGAGGTTCGCGATAGAAAGGTGGAGGATGAAGAGCGGCATGGAAAGGGAGGAGGAAAGAGGAAGGGAAAAGGAAAAGAATGAAAAAGGGAGAACAGTTTCAATTTGCATGATGGCGGTGTGGTTTCGCAAGGATAACTGTAATCTCTCTCTCGACGTCACGAGAGAAGAGCAAATTTTATCGCAGCCATTCGGAATCGCAGTCAGACGGAAAGACATCCGAGAGGGGAGGAGGTCCTGGAAGGCTTTTTTGCCAAAGGGGCAAAAGCTTAACCTTTCATATCCATGTTTGCACTGGGCGAAGCAGTAGCAGCCAGGAGATACGGAGCCTGGCAAGTCCGCAAGGACGGAAGTAAGTATACATTTCGGCCTTTACCACTGTATCAACCTACAGACCTGCCGACCTGTCTGTCTACCAACCTTTTCAAGGCGTAATTAAATGGCGGCGTGCCGCTGCACGACCTTTTCGCGACGCTCCGCTTTGCCTGTCTGCGTGTAAACGTGCCACACGGCTGGGAAAAGTGCGTTTAATTCCATTTGAATTCCGACCGAGAGTGGTGTTAGCCGAGTGTGGTTTCCGCGTTCACTGGAGAATCGGACGAACATGTAAGAATCTCGTTCGTCCTCTTCCCAGCTTGAACAACTCGGTGTCAAACTCGTCGAGACCGGTGACTCGAGATTAAACCCGACGATATCCAGTCACACCTGTTTGCCGGTCGATTTTTCTCCCGTTCGTGTTTCAACCCTGTTCCCTGAAGAACCAATTAATCCCTCGATTCTCATCGACAACCAACGGCGCGTTATCCCTATTAAATTATTCGCAGGGAGTTAATTTTAGGAACGAGATGGAATCTGGTAAGTCGTCGTTCAAATAAAAGTACCACGATTAGATAGAGATACGAGAAGTCGTATGTTTTGCCGATGTAATCGATTCGAAATTTCATCGAATGAAACATAAATTATACACGGAATCATGAGTCATTTGAACGTAAAATGAAATTTTGTTTATCAGACTCGATTTTGTTTACCCGATCGCATTGGATTTTAGTGTCGGACAATTAAAAACGGTCGATAAAAGGTGGTAAATTTTCCGACGACTGACTGAAACTCTGTCTTTCGTTCGGTGTCTCTCCCTTCTGTCCTCACCTCAGGGGCAAAACCGATACGGACCCCTCTCCTGTTCCTGAAGAACTCGA